AGGGGATGGTGGGAGCCTGAGGGGATGGTGGGAGCCTGAGGGGATGATGGGAGCCTGAGGGGATGGTGGGAGCTGAAGGGATGGTGAAAGCTGAGGGGATGATGGGAGCCTGAGGGGTTGATGGGAGCCTGAGGGGATGGTGGGAGCTGAGGGGATGGTGGGAGCTGGAGGGGATGGTGGGAGCCTGAGGGGATGATGGGAGCCTGAGGGGATGGTGGGAGCTGAGGGGATGATGGGAGCTGAGGGGATGGTGGGAGCCTGAGGGGATGGTGGGAGCTGAGGGGATGATGGGAGCCTGAGGGGATGGTGGGAGCTGAGGGGATGATGGGAAGCCTGAGGGGATGATGGGAGCCTGAGGGGATGGTGGGAGCCTGAGGGGATGGTGGGAGCCTGAGGGGATGATTGGGAGCCTGAGGGGATGGTGGGAGCCTGAGGGGATGATGGGAGCCTGAGGGGATGGTGGGAGCCTGAGGGGATGGTGGGAGCCTGAGGGGATGATGGGAGCCTGAGGGGATGGTGGGAGCTGAAGGGATGGTGGAAGCTGAGGGGATGATGGGAGCCTGAGGGGTTGATGGGAGCCTGAGGGGATGGTGGGAGCTGAGGGGATGGTCGGGGGTGAAGGGGATGGTGGGAGCTGAGGGGATGATGGGAGCTGAGGGGATGGTGGGAGCTGAGGGGATGATGGGAGCCTGAGGGCATGATGGGAGCCTGAAGGGATGGTGGGAGCTGAGGGGATGGTGGGAGCTGAGGGGATGATGGGAGCCTGAGGGGATGGTGGGAGCTGAGGGGATGATGGGAGCCTGAGGGGATGATGGGAGCCTGAGGGATGGTGGGAGCTGAGGGGATGATGGGAGCCTGAGGGGATGATGGGGCTGAGGTGGAGTGAGGATGATGGGAGCCTGAGGGCATGATGGGAGCCTGAAGGGATGGTGGGAGCTGAGGGGATGGTGGGAGCTGAGGGGATGATGGGAGCCTGAGGGGATGGTGGGAGCTGAGGGGATGATGGGAGCCTGAGGGGATGATGGGAGCCTGAAGGGATGGTGGGAGCTGAGGGGATGATGGGAGCCTGAGGGGATGATGGAAGCCTGAGGGGATGGTGGGAGCTGAGGGATGATGGGAGCTGAGGGGATGATGGGAGCCTGAGGCATGATGGGAGCCTGAAGGGATGGTGGGAGCTGAGGATGGTGGGAGCTGAGGGGATGATGGGAGCCTGAGGGGATGGTGGGAGCTGAGGGGATGATGGGAGCCTGAGGGGATGATGGGAGCCTGAGGGGATGGTGGGAGCTGAGGGGATGATGGGAGCCTGAGGGGATGATGGGGAGCTGAGGGGAGCTGAGGGGATGGTGGGAGCTGAGGGGATGATGGAAGCCTGAGGGGATGGTGGGAGCTGAGGGGATGATGGGAGCCTGAGGGGATGGTGGGAGCTGAGGGGATGATGGGAGCCTGAGGGGATGATGGGAGCTGAGGGGATGATGGGAGCTGAGGGGATGGTGGGAGCTGAGGGGATGATGGAAGCCTGAGGGGATGGTGGGAGCTGAGGGGATGATGGGAGCCTGAGGGGATGGTGGGAGCTGAGGGGATGATGGGAGCTAGAGGGGATGGTGGGAGCTGAGGGGATGATGGGAGCTAGAGGGGAAGGGAGACGGGGACGGAATCCAGAGACACGACGGCTGTCAGGAGGGGATAGATAGAAGGGAGGGACGGGCGCACGCACAGGGACGGGCGAGAGGGGAAGGATGGGCGGCAGGGGAGGGACGGGCGAGTGGGGAGGGACACGCGAGAGGGGAGGGACGGGCGGCAGGGGAGGATGGGCGAGAGGGGAGGGACGGGCGGCAGACATGGGAATCTGACTCGGGAATGAGACTCGGGAATTTGACATGGGACTCTGACATGGGAATCTGACCTGGGGATCTAACTTGGGAATCTGACTTGAGAATCTGAGTTAGGAATCTGACTTGGGAAGCAGATCCAGGAATCTGCCCGCCCTCTCATCAGCCCTCGCTCACCCTCTCCCCCATCTCTCCTCGCCCTCTGTTACCCCACTTCTCTTCCTCTCTCCCCCTCTCTCTATGCACTCTCCTCCCTCTCTCCGCGCCCTCAGTTACCCCTCTCTTCTTCCTCTCTCCCCCTCTCTCTATGCACAGTCCTCCTGCTCTCCTCGCCCTTGCCCACACCGTTCACCCTCGCCCACACCGTTCACCCTCTCCCACACCGTTCACCCTCTCCCACACCGTTCACCCTCTCCCACACCGTTCACCCTCTCCCACACCGTTCACCCTCTCCCACACCGTTCACCCTCTCCCACACCGTTCACCCTCTCCACACCCCCCTCCTCACGCGGCTCCGTCCCTCCCTCACCTTGCCATCCGTTCATTCTCTGCTCGTCCCCGTTCCACCTAGCCTCGCCCTCCATTCCCCCTAGCCTCGCCCTCCGTTCCCTCTCACCTCGCAATCCGTTCCCCCTCAACTCGCCATCCTTTCCCCCTCCCCTCGCCATCCGTCCCCCCTCTTCGCACCATCCACTCCCCCTCACCCCTGTCAGTTCCCTCTATCCTCGCCGTCCTTTCTCCCTCTTTGCGCCATCCGTTCCCCCTATCCTCGCCATCCCTTCTCCCTCACCTCGCCATCCGTTCCCCCTCGCGTCGCCTCCCCTCACCCCTGTCCGTTCCCCTTAGCCTCGCCGTCCGTTCCCCCTCTCCACGCCATCCACTACCCCTCACCCCTGTCCTTTCCCCCCATCCTCACCGTCCGTTCTCCCTATCATCGCCGTCCGTTCCCCCTCTCCTCGCCATCCGGCCCCCCTCATTTCGCCATCCGTTTCCCCCTCTCCTTCCTATGTGTCCCCCGATCTCGTCGCTATCCGCGGCCCCCCGTGCCGCTTTAACGCCGGCTATATACATGCGTTTCGTCACGGGGCCTAATGGCAGGTCTTACCCTAGATTCGCGTCGCAAACTACGGCTTCCTTGGCTCGTTTAAGCTGGTTTTAGCTTGTCCCTCTGTGTGTTGCGGTATGACACATATGGAGGTCGCCTACTCGGAGAATAAATCCGTCTCCCCGTAGTGGTATGAGTTGGTCGTCGATGCGCAGGGGTTTTTTTTATCTGACCTGTGCTGTGGCAGCTATGGGTTCATAAGCTTGTGTGACTACGAGATTATCTCCTCCTTAGAAACGTGAAGCACACCCATGGAGCTCTTGAACGATGGGTTCGAGGTTGTGGTCGCACATAAACAATTTTGGTTGAGTTGTGCGACCTCAGTTCTTGTCGCATCATATTCCACCGAAGTCGTGGGGGTGCTTGGTGCGTCGTGGCCCTCTCGCTACGTTTCAAAATGTCGCAAGACATGTTTTTTCGTTTTTTTTCATGTGGAGTGCTCCAGTCTGGGTCTTTTATTCTGACCACCAAAAAACACAGTTTTCAAGAGCGCCCAAGGTGTGCTTTTTTAGCCTGTGGTTTTAAAGGCTAGATAGGGTATGTTCTTAGTGGGTACAACCCAAACGCTATATCCCCCCTGTTCCCCATTCTTCTAATAATTCTTTCTAGTCTTCACATGGTATTACGAGTAGGTAGGTCTACCCACCCGCTTCCGCCCCGTGCCGCCACCTACCGTCCCTCACTAGACCTAGCCGGCCCCGTCGCACCCCTACCGGCCCCTCACGCCCCTAGCTGGCCCCGCGCGCCCCTACGGCCCTGTCGTGCCCCTAGCCGGCCCCGTCGCGCCCCTACAGCCCCGTCGCGCCCCTACGGCCCCGTCGCGCCCCTACAGCCCCGTCGCGCCCCTACGGCCTTGTCGCGCCCCTACGGCCTTGTCACGCCCCTACCGGCCCCGTCGCGCCCCTTCGGCCCTGTCGCGCCCCTAGCTGAACCCGCCGCGCCCCTACCGGCCCCTTCCGCCCCTAGCCGGCCCCTCGCGCCCCTACGGCCCTTCGTGCTCCTACTCCCCCCCCCCCCCCCCCCCCGCGCCCCTACCGGCCCCACTCGCCCTTGCCGCCCCCCCCCGCCCTAGCCGGCCCCTTGAGCCCTAACCGAGCCGCCGAGCACCCTAGCCGCCGAGCCGCTGAGCTGCCGACCGAGAATGGACCCTTCTAGAAATAGAATCACCCTGCGTATAGCCACGCGAGGCTATTGGCTTTAAGGGATTACAGCAGGATTACACTAGATATAGCGCGCCAGTACATCCCGAGCCTGGTCAGTGATATTATTATAATAACATGATAAACCAACGGATAATGGAATAGGAGGAATAGGGAACCAAATGAGATGAGATAAAAAGAGGAATGAAATAGAAATGAGATATGGAAAGGGAAATTGATGTAACGGGGTCGTACTCTCACAACTACTCTGTCTGAGATAGAGACTCGCCAGCGCACCATCGCTCAGTCGAGCGGTGTTGCGACAGTCCCTATCTTTAAGGGCTGTGCCCCCTCCCAGTGCACGTACGCTGACATCTCCGCCGCAGTTGCCACGACTGCGCCTGCACCTGAGACAGCAGTTGCGGCTTACCCGCAGCAGCGCCAGCGCCGGGGCCGCCGTGGCCCCAAGGGAGAACGTGGAGGTGGCGCTAGTGGTGGTGGTGGCGGGGACAGTGGTTCTGACGAGGGGGTTGGTACTGGTGCCCAGGAGCAGCAGCAGCCGTCACAGCAGCAGCAGCAACAGCCTTGGGCTCGTCTCCCGCCCGGGTGGCCAGGAGCCCCTGGCGGTAGTGGTCGTGGTGCTGGCCCTCGTAGCTCGGCGTCCACCTGCAGCTTCGGTGCTGTGAGCTGCCAATACAAGCTTAAGAACAGGCCCCTGCGTGGCACAGTGTGCCGCCGCCCGCACACGACCGCCCACTGCTTCCGCCGCCTCGACGATCTCTTCCGTCGCCGCTTTGGTCCCGCCCCGGACCTCCCTGACTGGCCCAGCCTGCTGCGCCACGGTGTGCCTGTGTTTGACTTAGACATGGATAAGATTAGTTATGCCTTGCATTCTCAGTATGCTGACGCTTCGAGTGTAGAAACCGACAAGCCAGCAAGATGGTGGGTGGACAAACCGACAAACAAACAGCTGAGGAAGGTGTGAGTGTGAGAGGGCACTGCAGGTTGTACTTGGCCGGGAGTTGATGTCTGAGAGGATGGAGATGAAACAGAGAATCTGGGAGTGTGTAAGAAGAGGGAGAGGGCAGGGAAAGTATGAGAGTATGAGGTGTGAAATGAGGAAGGCACAACAAGTGCAGGTTATATGGCAAGAGGCTTAAAGTGTGAGAGGGTGGAGATGAAATGAAACAGACGTCCGGGGGGTGAGAGAGAGGAAAGAGCGAAAGGAGTCGGGGGGTGTAGCAAGAGACAGGGAATGAGAACAGACGTGAGGTAGATGGTTTGGAGGAGAGAGGTAGAGGACTATGGAGAAAGGGAGCGAGGTGACAGGATGCAATGCGAGAGAAGGGATGAAATACGAGAGAAGGGACGCAACGCGAGAGAAAGGACGAAGTTCAATAGAGACGATGGAAGGAGTGCACGAAGGAGGGAAATAGATCAGAAAAACGTGAGGCAGGAGAAACGTACAGGGGGGGGATTCATCCCTCACCAAGTACTGGGGGAGGGCAATAGATAGAGGATGCTGGGAACTGAGGAAGGCACACATGAGGAAGGGGATATTAGAGAAGCGAGGAAGGAAGCTGCCACAAACTATTACACATACTGTTCTTACCAGGGTTATCAGAGTCTGCTCCATAGGGTACAAGTACCAGTATTGCAAACCATGGCTGATGGCTTCATGGGGTATAGGCACCAGCATAGCACGCCATGGCTGATGGCTTCATGGGTTATAGGCACCAGCATAGCACGCCATGGCTGATGGCTTCATGGGGTATAGGCACCAGTGTAGCACGCCATGGCTGATGGCTTCATGGGGTATAGGCACCAGCATAGCACGCCATGGCTGATGGCTTCATGGGGTATAGGCACTAGCATAGCACGCCATGGCTGATGGCTTCATGGGGTATAGGCACCAGCATAGCATGCCATGGCTGATGGCTTCATGGGGTATAGGCACCAGCATTGAACACCATGGCTGACGTGCACGCGAATGCTGTGCCTTCCACCGCTAGCAAACAGCACAATGATCCTCTCTGCGCGTTACTGAGGTCCACTTTGTGCAGTACATGCACCAGCACTGCACACCATGGCTAAAGTGCCCATGCTGTGCCTTCATTACGCTAGGGGTGCCTCTAACCACACACGTACCTAGCCATTAGCACCATGATGGTCTTGTGCGGATAATAGAGATCCACTTTATGGGGTGCATTGCACTCTCAAGAACAGAAGGGCTTTGCAGCCAGAGTCCATACTCACAAAACGAGCCTGGGGGAAAGAGGGTAAAAGCGGAGGAAGGGGTTGGGATTAACACAGAAAATCAGCCTTTTCACGAACAGAAGGGCTTTGCACCTAGAGTCCACACTAAAAAAACAAGCCTGGAGGAGGAAGGAGAGCCTGGCATGAGACGGCGAGGCGAGATAGGCAGGCGGAAAGGGAGAACATAAAAAATGGCTTTTAGAATGAACAGAAGAAGAATCGCAGCAGCGCTTGAATGGAAGAGTATCCGCACAGCAGCGCTTTCCACCCAGAAGAATCACCCTGAACCAAATGCGTTGCTGAATGAGAGGAAAGGGAAGGAGGAGGGGAGAGGGGAGGTCGGGGGGGGATGCAAGAAGGGGAGTTGTGGAACCAGGAGCTGGAAAGGAGAGGGTAAGGCATCAATATGCCCTGCAAACATGTTACATGAGTGTGAAACGGTTTTTAAAAGTTTTGAAGCAAAATTTTTACGATCACTAGTCGAAGCGTAAGGGAAGTACGAACAAGGTTGTGAATTTGTTCTAAATTTTATCATGAACAAACTTAACCGTCACTGACCTGTTTTTTTTTACGTTGTCTCTTCACTCGCTTGGAGGGCGTCAATCGTAGAACCTCCTTTCTAAGTTTGATCCAGTTGTTTGTGTGAGAAAAGGGCACCTTATTGTTTGGGCACCTTTTTGTTTGGGCACATTGCTGTATTTCCACAATGCACCGACCTTTCTTTTCAGCATCGCCAGCAGAGCATCGATGGACGAACCCCCATTCTTTGCCTATCCATCTCCCTGCCCCTTGGTGACTAGAAGACTGTCTCACCGCTGCCAGGAAAAACAGCGGAGGAGGGACACAAAACGAGGGCTCCGATAAGCCTTCCCCAGATGGCACCTGCCCCTTGCCCTGCCCCATGCTGGCCAGCAGCTTGTCGCACCACTCACAAGGGCAAAAAGGGGGCAAGGGGGAACAAGAAACAACGGCTCAGGTAAACCATCCCTGCAAACGCCTTTCTCAGTCACCACCTGCCCCTCCCACCCTCCTTTTCGCTGGCTATTAGCTTGTCGCACCAATGTGGGGGCAAGAAAAGGGGAAGGAAGGACAAGAAACAAGCGCTCAGGTAAACCATCACTACAAACACCTTCCCTGGTCACTACCTGCACCCCTTGCCCTCCCCTTTTCCCTTGCTGGCCAGCAGCTAGTTGCACCACTGGTCCACTGTTGGAAGGGGGATAGAAAGGACAGAAATCAAGTGCTCAAATAAGCCTTCCCCAGCCGTTTCCCTGCAGACGACCCCTCTCCAGTCGCCCCCAGCCCCTCCTTCTCACCCTGGAAACCTCCTTGCACCTTCCCAGTATGCTAGAACCCTATCCTCTCCTGTCATGCCAGCTTCTTGTTCATGTCCCCCTACCTAGCACACAGAAACCCGAAGCCCTTAATGCGGAATGTATAAAATAACCAAACCCTTCAGCGTAATATACTTGTGGAGTCCTAAACCCTAACCCCCCCACACACATAAACCCTAAGATTTTATTTGGAGGACACATAATAACCATATCCTCAGGCACAATATAAGAGCACACTAATTTCATCACCCATATCTCAGGCTCAATCCTCCTTCCTTCTTTCCCATTTTCAAAATCGATTGTGCCTCACCTCGTCCAACACGCTGATAGTCTTTCTGCCTCACTCCCTCTCCCTGCACGTAGCACATGACACCAGGCACCCCTCCCGTTGTATTACCTCTCCCTGCCCATAACGCATGCACCCAGCCAGCCTTCAGTCCGCACCGCAATACTCACCTCTTGTGTCACTCCCTTCTTGTAAATCACCCTGTCCAGCACGTTGATTATCTCTCTGCCGCACTCCCTCTCCCTGCCAGTAATGCATGAAACCAGCCAGCCCGTGCTGCCATTCGCCACGGGGCTGGCTCCCCCCCCAACTCTGGTTCAAGACAAAGGGGGCAGAAAGCCAAGGGGGCAAAAAGCAAAGAGGGCCAGCAAGCCAAAAGGGGCAGAAAGCCAAGGGGGAGAAAGCGGAAGAGAGGATGGTGAGGACCTCCCTGCCAGTGAGCCACGCACGAAACCAGCCGCACCCTGCTGCCATTCGCCTCAGCGCCGCCTCCCCCCCCCACTCTGAGTTGGTCGACAGGGAAAATTTGACAGACGGAATCAGACGAAAACAAGACAGCAGCCGCCCCCACAAGTGAGTGAGTTACACGAGATAGGGGAAAATGGACAAACGGGGGAGAGAGCAGAACAGAGGCTCCCTGCCTGTGAGGGAGTCACGAGCGACAGCAGCCGCCCCCATTCACCACGGGCCCGCTTACCCCCTCTTCTGAAGAGCGCAAAGGGGGGCAAAAGTACAGAGAATAGAGTGAGCAGGCAGTGAGCATCTGCACCTGCTACCTGCCCCCTGCCACCTGCCCCCTGCCGCCTGCCGCCTGCCCCCTGCCGAATTCCAGCCACCTGCCACCTGCAAACTGCCACCTGCCACCTGCCACCTGCCACATGCCACCTGCCACCTGCCACCTGCCCCCTGCCCCCTGCCCCCTGCCACCTGCCACCTGCCACCTGCCACCTTCCAGCCACCTGCCACCCACCTGCCACCTGCCACCTTCCAGCCACCTGCCACCTGCCACCTGCCACCTGCCCCCTGCCCCCTGCCACCTGCCACCCACCTGCCACCCACCTGCCACCTGCCAGCTTCCAGCCACCTGCCACCTTCCAGCCACCTGCCACCTGCCCCCTGCCCCCTGCCCCCTGCCCCCTGCCACCTGCCACCTGCCCCCTGCTACCTGCCACCTGCCACCTGCCCCCTGCCCCCTGCCACCTGCCACCTGCCACCTGCCACCTGCCATCTCCCACCTGCCCCCTCCCGCGGCCCCGTCACCTAACGGCCCCCCGGGGCCGTCACCTAGCGGCCCCGCGGCCCTGTCACCTAGCGGCCCAGCGGCCCCGTTACCTAACGGCCCCGCGGCCCCGTCCCCTAGCGGCCCCGCGGCCCCGTCACCTAGCGGCCCCGCGGCCCCGTCACCTAGCGGCCCCGTCCCCTAGCGGCCCCGCGGCCCCGTCTCCTAGCGGCCCCGCGGCCTCGTCACCTAGCGGCCCCGCGGCCCCGTCACCTATTGGCCCCGCGGCCCCGTCACCTAGCCGCCCGCGGCCCTGTTGCCTAGCCGTCTCGCCAGCCCCGTCGCCTGGCCGCCCACGGCCCCCGTCTTCTAGCCGCCCAGCGATCCCGCTTAGCCGCCTAGCCACCCACTACCCCCGTCTTCTTGCCGCCAAGCGACCCCGTCGCCTAGCCGCCTAGCCGGCCTCGTTGCCGAGCCACCCGCGGCCGCGTCATCTAACTGCCCCGCGGCCCCGTCGCCTTGCCGACCAGCTTGCCTCGTCACCTAGCCGCGCGCGGCCCCGCTCTCTAGCCGTCCCAGCCGACCCCGACGCTCAGCCTCCCGCTGCTCCGTCGCCTCGCAACCACGTCGGCCCCTCCCACCGCACTACTCCGCACTCTAATGCACTGCACCGCACTCCACCGTACTACCCCGCTCTCTACCGCACCGCACCGCTCATCACTGCTCCCTGTCGCACTCCTTCACTCAGTACAGCCCACTACCGCTTGTCAGCTGCTGCATCGACCAGGATGGCGGACTCGGTGCTGCGCTTTGACGCGGAGGGTCAGCCGGTCGAGTTTGACACGAGGCTCGTTGACCTCCGCCGTCACGTCACTGGTCAGCGGCAGGATGGCCACTCCCTGGCCGTCCACCTTGACGGTACGCTACCTTGTCCTAACTCCCCTGCTGCTCTACCCGCTGACCCCACGTCTGCTGACCATGAGTCCGCTACCGCTGCTGCCCTTGCCCATGCTATCTGGTTGTCGCGTGACGCTATCGCACAGCTCGCGATTAGTCATGCCCTCCCCCTATCTGAGCACCCCCACTTTCGGTCAGTCAGGACTGTGCAGGAGTTCCTAGAGGCTGTTGTCGCCCGCTATTCCACCCCGCCCTCTGCCTCTGTCGGTCGCCTGATCCTGCGACCTTCTCCACTGTCACTGACCTCGCCACGCACTTGCGCACGCTAGACTCGACCTGGTGCGCTGCCTACACTGAGGCCCAGTTTAGTGTGTTTCAGCCCCCCAATTGCTCCACCCTCTACCTGCTTGCCACACGCCTCCTTGACTGCCTTGGTACTCCCCACGATTGCTTTCTTAGTCTCCACCCCGCAGACCTCACCCTCACTGACTTTGTCGACACCTTGTGTGCTATAAAGAATCGTCAGCGCTCTATCGCCTAGCGTAGCGGTACCGTGCCAGTCTCTATCTTTCAGGGTTGTGCCCCTGCTCAGTGCTCTTACTCCGACGGTTCTGATGCGGTTGCTCAGATAGCTCCGCCTCTGGAGACAGCCGTCACAGTGCAGTTTTGTCCGGGTAAGGGTCGCCGCCCCAAGGCTGGGCGCGGCGGAGGTAGCGGAGGAGAAGGTGGCGGCGGGGGTGGAGGTGGTTCTCCCGCTGGTAGTTCCGACGAGGGCGCTGGGGCTGGTGCCTCGGAGCAGCAGCCACAGCAGCAGCAGCAGGCGCCGCCGCAGCAGCTGCAGTAGCAGCAGGAGCAGCAACAGCAGCAGCAGTAGCAGAAGGAGCAACAGCAGCAGCCACAGTAGCAGCAGGAGCAGCAGCAGCAGCACCGGCGGGTCGGCCGTCTACCGCCTGGGTGGCCTGGCGCCGATGGTGGAGGTGGTCGCAGTGGTCGTGCACGCAGCGTATCGTCGGGTGGTGGTGCAAGTGACGGGCATTGCCAGTACCAGCTCCAGACCGGTCCTCGCCACAACTTCGTGTGCGGTAAGATTAGTCATACCCCTACTCGCTGTTTAAGTCACTTAGACGACCTATTTCGTCTCCGCTTTCGGCTCGGCGTCGGACCTCCCCGAGTGGCACAGTCTGCTCTGCCGTAGTGTTCGGATCTTTGATATGGACATGGATGAGATTAGCTCTGCCTTGTATGTGCTGTATGTCAATGACTCTAGTGTGACTGGTTCCTATTACCCCGTATTGTCTAGTGTGCCCAGTGTGCCTAGTTCAGGCTCCCCTGTTGCGTCAGGCGTAGGATCCCCTGCTTTGCTTAGACTTGGCTCCACCCTAGCTCTCCGCCCCCAGCAGTGTCCACCACTACAGCGCTCTCCTTCACTCTCGACTTTGGCGCGTCTCGGTGTTTCTTTCGGCACCACACTACGCTTACGCCGCTTGCTGTCCCTGCCGCAGTTGCCCTTGCAGACCCTTCCTCCGGTCCGGTAGTCGCCCGTAGTTCCACCACCCTCCCCTGTTCGGCGGTTCCTTCGGGCTCTCTTCCAGGCCCGCACATCCCCTCGTTCTCTCAGAACCTAGTTGGTGTCGGCTGCCTTCAGGACCTCGGCGTCACCACCACGTTCCCGGGTCACGAGCGGTACGCTGTCTGTACCGAGGCCGCCACTGGTGCTCCCCTCACCACGTTCCCCCGGGACCCAGTGTCTGGCCTGTTCACGCTGGACACCGCTTCCCCCCCAGTTGGGACGCACCCCCAGGTGGCAGAGTCTACCCGGGTTGTTGCGGCTTGCTCGTGCCGGTCGCTTACTCATCCGTCCCTCCTGTGGCACCGCCTAGGTCACCCCGCCCTCACGCGTCTTTGTTATATACAGTATCTCAGCACGGTCTTGTCTTAGGTCTCCCTGCGTCGTTCCCTGCCCTCCCCCCCTCGGCAGCGCCACCGTGCACCCCCTGCGTCGAGAGTCGGCACCACCGTGCCCCTCACTCCTCCTCGTTCTTCCCCACCACCGCACCGCTGCAGACCCTGCACATGGACGTCTGGGGGCCCGCCCCCATCCATGGGCCGCGTCGCGAGCGCTACTTCCTAGTGCTTACTCTGGTGGACGAGCTTACTCTGGAAGTCGGTCACATAGGGGGTGAAGTTGTGGCTGGCTCCACTGTCAATCCATCACCCATCTCGTGGCTGCCTTTCTGCTGTTGCTTGCTGCCCAGCCGCTGCCATTGCTTCACCAACAGCACCCTCTGCCGGGTCCTCTTGCTCCTCCTTATCCGCTAATTGTGCCTTGCCTTTGAACCCACCCGGTCGTTTTCGGAAGATTGGTATCGCATTTTTGGGCCTATGAGGGCAACATTGCCATGCATGTCCCTCATTCCAGCACCCACGACACAATCCCCGTGGCGCCAAACCCTACGACCCCTAAGGGAATGTGGGTGCTGCTGACTTGATCGTCGGCGGACCCCCTGGACCCATGCCGTTGTTTCTGCCACTTCTTCCTTGTCCCCCTCCCCTATTCCGGTTGCTGCTGCCATCTCCCCTTCCCCAAGTGGCTGCTCCAAATATGGCTGCACCATCACTCATCAGCGCCGCACCAATGCGCATCTCCTCACTTCTCAGGGAGGTCAACAACTGATCCTTGGAGAGTGAGGATCACTGGTTGCTGAGGATCACTTTGAGCATCTCAAATCGAGGTGGGAGCCCCTTCAGTATCCTCATCATCCATTCTCAACCTCTTCCTTCCCCCCTGCCGCCAAGTACTTGGACCTCAAGTCCTTGGCACGAGCCCAATACGCAGCCAAACCTTCGTCCTCCTTCATTTTCAAGGAAGAAAGCTCCTCTGAGAGAGCCATCATGTTGCACAGTCCACGCTGCAGGTATAAATCCCACACTCGTTTGTACGCCTCTGCTTTTCATGCAGGAATGCGAGTGACAGGTCTCGCCTCCTCGTCGGCAGCAGCGTTGGCAAACTCAGTTTTGCCCTCAAACTCACGTACGAGGCGAATCAGCTCATCCGGTACCAAGGCATTGCAGAACTGAGCAAATGCCTTTTGATTTCTCCTGTCCCACTTCCCCTGTGCATCGCCCGAGGTTGGCCGCTCCTCCGAACCATGATAGAATCCTCAAATGCCATATGCTTCCACCCATTGCTCGAACCGGATGCTCCAAGTCCAATAACTATTCCCATCGAACTTTTGGGCACTCTCCCATTTTTCATCACCCTTCTCCTGCTCCATGCCCGGCGTCAGCATCGGCGGCGATGGCGGCGGATGTGGCGAGGGGAGCGGCGACGACTGTGGCAGTGGTGTCAATGTCGACCGGTGCGACGTCGGTAGGGCTACCCCCTCCTGGTTTATGGGGCGTAACTCCAAGTTCTGGTCTCCGAATGACGATCTGTGTGTGGCTACTAAATCCTTACTCCGAGGGCTTTCCAGCTAGATATTGCATTTTTTGTTCCCACTGTCAGTTTCAGCGCTTAAGTTCTCCGAAGTTTGTCGACTTGTTGTCAGCGAGTCGACGAGGTCGTTTGAAGTGAGATTTCGTGATGCTACCTCCACTGTTCCCCCCAAGTTTTGACTTGTTGGATGCGCACTGATGTCCTCTATTGGCGCCTAGGATCCACTCCCTTTCTCGCGGTCGTGATCAGCGACTGTTCGCGTTCTCCCAGACTCTTCCGATTTTCTGTCACCGATCGAATATCTTGATTTTCGCCCAATCCGCTTATCAGATGGCGACGACCTCAAGGCAAATGTTGTAGATATTGCGTCCTTTCCAATGGTATGCTGATCGTCTCCAACACATGTCTTCAACCGAACACCCTTGAGAGAAGATGCCGCTTCTCTCGTCCTCCCAAGCGGATCAACACGTCGTCCAGCGTGTTTCTCCTTCCCTTCACCGGTGCCACGCCCAAGGTCCGCCATGACGATCTACGGTTTGATGTCGGCAGCCTTTTGGGATCGATGGAAGCCCTTTTGCTTCCACCAAGGATTGAAAATCTCTTTTGTACTAGGTCGCTCTTCCAATGGGTCACTAGACTTCCCTCAGTTCTTATACCATGTGAGAGTGTTCTAAGAGACTAATGCATCCTTAGAACTTCCTCCTAGAGTCTAGGATGCTTAGGAACCAAATTGGACATGACCTATTCTTGAGAGGCACCATCAAATCCCAAGAAGTGAGTTTCAGCCAAGTCACAACCATCCCTAAAGGATCTACCTATGAGTTTACCTTCTAGAAGCATTCCCAACCCATCCAATGAAAGTCCTCTACACTACCAAACCTATAGTCAATCAGCTATATGTATGTTTATTGGAGCAACCTAGATACTATACTCCCATAATTCCAACAATAGCAAGACCCATGTCTTAGAGTAGCAAAGTGACTAGAAGGGGCAGTAGGGCAGCAGGGGCTGACTGTTAGAAGTAGGTTTTAGCTAGGTGGGAAAAGTAACGAGAGAAAAGAGATTTGACTAGGAGAGAGAGAGAGGTACAAGAAGTGGATTGTACCCTCTACAGTAGGATCCAGTCATTTGTAGAACACCCAACACCTACCAAGCCTACACAACTATACATATAGAATACATAAATTGACACCCCTTAGGCTTGGTAGGCACTAGCACACCACACACGCAACACCCCCAAGCCCTTGCACCCCATGTCCTGCAGCAGCTGTGGCTTCTACCCCTTGGCATGTGAGACAGCAACGTCGGTGGCGGGTGGCAGCAACGGCCTTAGCGGCGGCTACGACGATGACAGCGGCGGCGGCGGTGGCGGGTGGCGGCGGAGCCAGCTGCACCTTCTGCAGCGGCGGCGGCTTCGACGATGGCGGCGGCGACCGCGAAGCCCGCCGCACCCGGCGGCGTGGCACGGCCCGACGACGACGGGGAAGGGAGTCATCGGCTGCGGCTGGGACGAGGGGAGACGCAGGAGAGGGGGTGTGCCTCTAGCGATGCGCCCTGGCTGGCGCAATGGCTGGCGTGCGGGCGTGCTGGCTGGCGTCTAAAACAGGGCACTGGCTGCAGCCGTCCGTGCGCTGGCGCATCGAAGCCGCCACAGCAGCACGACGAGGCCACCGCGGCAGCGCGGCTAGGCCGCCACGGCTGCTCGACGAGGCTGCCACGCGTCGAGGCCGCCATGGCAGCAGGACGTGGCCGCCACGGCAGCGCGTCGAGGCTGTTACGACAGCACAACGAGGCCGCCGCGGCAACTCGACGGGGCCGTCGCGGCAACTCGACGAGGCCGCCGCGGCAGCGCGTCGAGGCCGCTAGGCTGCACATGGAGGCTGCCACGGTGGCGCGAAAGTGAGAGGGGAGAGTACGGGGCGAAAGCGTGAATAGGAGGCTCAGCAGGATCTTCCTGGTCTGGTACCATGTTAGAAGTAGGTTTAGGTTAGGTAGGCATGAGAATAAAGAGAGGTTTTAGCTAGGTGGGAACAGTAATGAGAGAAAAGAGATTTGACTAGGAGAGAGAGAGAGAGGTACAAGAAGTGGATTGTACCCACTACAGTATGATCCAGTCATTTGTAGAACATCCAACACCTACCAAGCCTACACAACTATATATATAGAATGTAAGTTGACACACACCCCCTCTAACGACACTGCACGGCCATCACAGAGGTGGTAGGTGGCCTCCTCTAGGACCCTGCTCTAGGCTCGAGGAGGCTCCAGATCCCTTCCCGAGCCTGGGGCAAATGACGGACTAATGAACTTCACAGTTAGTATAGAGAGAGCGAGTCATACACGCTGGCTGGGAGTCATGGCAAGGACGCCCCCTTTAAACAGCACCTCAACGCATCGCAAACGGCTCAAGGCAGCTCCAGATCTCACACTATGAGGGCATGGCAAATGACTCTCAATTGACCTCAACAGTTAGTAGAGATAGCGAGTCGTGCACCCTTGCAGTCGTGGCGGGGGCGCCCCCCTTAGACAGCACCCTGCGCGCATCACAGATGGCTCAAGGTGACAGTGGGGCGCCTCCAAGTTAGTAGAGAGACAGCGAGTCGTGCACCCTGGCAGTGGTAGCAGGCGCGCCCCCCTTCGACAGCACCCCGCGCGCGTCACAGATGGCGCGTGGCGGCTCCAAATCCCTTTCCATGAGGGCGTGGCCCTGCAGCCGCTGCATCTGCTGTGCAAAGAGGTTGTCCAACGTCTGGTGGATGGGGGGGGGGGGGGAGGGGGGGAGGGATTGTGGAGATTCAGGGAGGCAAGGGGAAGCATCTGAGCCAGAAGCTCTCTCCATGCGCGCGTGGCCCTGCAGCCGCTGCACCTGCTGTGCAAAGAGGTTGTCAAGTGTCTGGTAGGGGTGTGGGAGTGTGGGGTGTGGGAGTGTGGGAGTGTGGGATGTGAATATGGGGAGGTGCAAGGCAATACAAATCAGCAGAAAAACCTTGCGCCAACACGTGGCCCTGCAGCCGTTGCATCTGGTGCGCCAACAGGTTGTCCAAAGTCTGACATGGGGTGTCGGGTTTAGTGGGGGTTATGAGTGTTGGCGCTGAGGGGTTACTGTCATGCTTGCATCCAGTCTCGTACCGTCATGCTTACAAGCCTCACAGAAGCCCTGCTTACATCGAGGGTGATAGCAGCGGAGGCGCTCTTGAACCACGACACCCCTCCCGCCTTTTCTCCAGGAAGTGCAGCACCTCCCGCCCGTGCCGGTCCCACAGACCCTCGCCGTGCCCATGAACACTCGGCTGCTCAACACTGCATCCGCCTGGTTGGGGGGGGGTGGACGGGAGAGGGAGGGCGAGAGGGAGCAGGAGGGGGAGAGGGAGCAGGAGGGAGAGAGGGAGCAGGAGGGAGAGAGGGAGCAGGAGGGGGAGAGGGAGCATGAGGGGGAGACGGGTGCGTGGGATGACCGTCAAGCTAGCTCACTCGGCGGTCCCACAGGCCCCTCGCCGTGCCCACGAACACACGGCTACTCAACACTGCGTCCGCCTGGTGGGAAGGGGGGGGAGAGAGGGGCGGGAGATGGGGAAAGGTGGGGGGCACGGAGAGGGAGGGAGGGGGAGGGTGCATGTGAGTTGGCTCAATAAAATGGTCCCACAGGCCCCTCGTCGTGAACACGGACACACGGCTGCTCAACACTGCGTTTGCCTGGTTGGGAGGGAGAAGGGGGGAGGAGGGAATGGGGGAGTGTGAGGGAGGAAGGGGAGAGGGGGTTGTGTGGGATGAGGACTAAGAGTCGGCTCATTAGACGGCCCCACAGGCCCCTCGCCGCGCCCACGAACACACGGCTGCTCAACACTGCATCGGCCTGGTTGGGAGAGAGAAGGGGAGGCGGGAATGGGGAAGTGTGAGGGATGAAAGGGGGAGTGTGAGTGCGGAATGGGGGAGTGTGAGGGAGGAAAGGGGAGAGGGGGGTGTGTGGGATGAGCACTAAGAGTCGGCTCACTAGACGGCCCCACAGGCCCCTCGCCGCGCCCACGAACACACGGCTGCTCGTGAGGAGGGAAGGGAAAAGGGGGAGGAGATGGGGTAGCAGCAGCACTTGAGTTGGCTTGTCTGTTGGTCCCACAGTCCCCTCGCGTGGAAATTACTCGACTTGGCTCAGTAAGATGCCACAGGCCCCTCGCTAGCAGTGAGGCAGCGAGGGCAGACAGCGGGTGCCCCCGCCAATGCAGCCCTTGCAGGGCCATGCACCTGTTGCAGCAGATGCAGTGCACCCGCTAGAAGCGAGGCAGTGAGGGCAGACAGCTCGTGCATCCGCTCTCCCACAGCCCCTTCCAAGACAGCGGGTACATCTTGGACGCGATGCCATTGCCTGCCTATTGTCATGCCTGGTGGGCATGGTGGCCTGGGAGTTCAACTCCAGTAGGATATGCTTTCCTGAGCAACGACCCAATAAGAGCAGAGAGCGGCTGTAGTTTGGAACGTCATGTCGTTGCCTGCCTGCCTGCCGTCACCTGGGCTGGGCAGTCAAGTGTGGAGATTCGACTCACCTGAGCTAACAACGATCCAATAAGAGCAGAGAGCGGCTGCAGCTTAGACGTCATGTCGTCGCCTGCCTGCGGGCGCACCTCCTTCAACACCCGCTTTAACGACGTGGTGCGGCCCAGCTGGGTCTGCGTGGAGGGAGGAGAGGGGGGTGAATGGCGAAGGGCAGGTTAGTCTAAGGAGCCTGTGGTGCGGGCGCATCTCCTTCAACCACTCGCTTTAACGACGTGGTGCGGCCAGCTGGGTCTGCTCACACAAGGGAGGGGGGAATATGGGATGGAAGGAAAAGGGTAAGTGCGCTTTTGTAAATGGCCTCAAGGAGGGCGCGCCTCCTTCAGCACTCGCTTTAGCGACGTGGTGCGGCCCAGCTGGGTCTGCTCTCAGAAGGATGGAGGGGAGAAAGTGGAGAGGAGGAGAAAGGGTAAGTGTGCTATCAAGGCGCCTCAGAAACACCTCCACAAACAACACCTGCCCAAACAGCACCTCCCCAAACAAAACCTGCCCAAACAGCACCTCCCCAAACAACACCTTCACAAGCAATACCTCCCTTCCCCCCAGCACACTCACGTTTTCATACAGCTTCTCCACCACGCCCTGCAGTGTCGTCCTGTACGTGGTCCTTGGCTCTATTGTCTCACTCAACGTCTCCCCGAATAACACCTTCACAAGCGATACCTTCCCCCCTTCCCCCTCACATACTCACATTCTCATACAGCTTCTCCACCACGCCCTGCAGTATCGCCCTGTAAGTCGTCCTTAGCTCCACACAGTCACCTCGCTCAACATCTCCCCAGGTGATTCCTTCCCTTCCCCCTTAATACTCACATTCTCGTATAGTTTCTCCACCACGCCCTGCAGTGTCGCCCTGTACGTGGTCCTTAGCTCCACAGTCACCTCACTCAACATCTCCCCGAATAACACCTCCCTTCCCCCGCCACCCTCCTCCCCCTGTTCCCCCTGCTCCCCCCATCCCCCTGCCTCCTCCATTCCCCCTCCCTGCCCTCTCCCCCTACCCCCTGCTGCCTCCGCCCAGGCATTCCCCCACCAGCGCCTCCCCCCAGCCCTCCTCCGCCCATCCCCCCTGTCCTCCTGCGCCTGCTCCTCCCCTCCCCGCCCCCTCCGCCTCCCCTCCCCCCCCCAGCAGCAGCAGCAGCCACCTTCTTAGCCGCAGCGCCTAGCATGGCGGCAGCAGCGGCGGCAGCAGCAGCGGTGCCCCCCCTGAGGGCCGCTTGGGAGGGGCGGAGTTGCGCTGGGGGGGCGGATGAGGGACGCAGGAGGGGTGTTGGCCACCCACTTGCGCATCCGCAGCTCCACTGTTGGGCGGAGCGTTTCCAGCATTCGCTTGATGGTGTTGAGATACACGCCCAGCTGAGAAAGAAAGGTGGGGGGGAAGGGGCAGGGGACGAAAAGGCACAGGGGCAAGTGGGAAGGGAGGGGGGGATGAGGGAGGGTGAAGGGGTGTTGGCCACCCACTTGTGCATCCGCAGCTGTTGGTCGCAGGGTCTCCAGCATTCGCTTGATGGTGTTGAGATACACGCCCAGCTGAGGGGAGGGGAGAGGGGGGAGACAAGGAAGCGAGGGGGAAATGGAAGAGGAGCGGAGGCAGAGGAGGAGGAAAATGAGGGAACAAAGGAAGGGAGGGGAAGCTGCCACTTGGTAGCCGAAGGGTGGGGCAGCAGCGGGAGAGCATAATCACGAGTTTTATTCCTGGTGGAGAAACAGAAAAAAACGTGGGTGGAGGGACAAGGCGTGGGGGGGGGAGTGGCAGTCTTGGTATGAGCACTTGGTGTTAAAAACTGAGAACTTGATTGATACAATGAGCAAGAGCATGCATCCTTAAGTACCGAGCATCGAAGAGGATGGGAAGGGTTAAGGGAAAATCAGAGGGAATCCCAAGGGCATCCTCCCAAATCATGGGGATTTGGGATGGATTGGGTTGGGATAGGTTGGGGATGAAAACATAGCTACACCCAACCTAACAAATATGCGTATCCCTATAACCAACAAATTGCCAACACACAAAGTTGTGCCAACCGAACTGCAGCCTATCTGTAACACACCCCCTAGGCTGCAACGTCGGAAGCCGTAGGCACGCCAAGTCCCATGGTACGGAGGAGACGATAGTGATCACAGCGTCCAAGAGCCTTCGTAAACAAAGTC